TTCTCTTTATCAGCATAGTAGAAAGCTCACCGTGAGACACTCAGGTTGATGGTGAGCCAAGCATCACGATGAGGGGCGTGAGGAAGAGTGTGGCCAACTCAAACCCCAACTCTCCCTGCACCCCATGGCACAGATCTATGAGCTGTGCACCCTGGTCCTATCTGAGGGGGCCTGGGGCTCCTGTCCCTGGGTGGTCTCATACATGTGAGGATCCCAGCTGAGTCTTGTCCGCCCCACTTGTACCTTTACCTTATTCTTCTGGTAGAGCGCACAGGAACCTGCCGGGGTGTCAGGACCAGCTGGTTGTGTGTGACCACTGATTTTGGGAAGCGGTCAAGACTGAATCAACCCATCCCCCTTCCATGGGCAGTGCTAATTCAGATTTCTTATTTTATTTTTCTTAACCCAATGCTTTCAGTTTAATCAGGGATTTGAAGACAGCGAGGCGCATGCAGAGGTGTCTGCGGAGGCCCCTTGGAGGAGGCTGGCACAGGCTGTGCAGTGGTAGGTCATTGCGCAGGATAGGTCATCGATGGCCTAAGACACAAACCCCAGGAAGGTGCAGCAGGAAAAGTTCGCATTAGCACCTGGCACCGATTCTCTGTGAGACACAGCCAGGTCTCCTTGTCTTGCATGGGGATGGCCCACGTGTCCTAGAACTGAGCCCCATGTGTCATCCTCCTACCTCCCAGCCCTCCCCTGCCTGGGGTTCCCTGGGACACTCCTCTGCCACAGGTGGAGGCTCCACAGTGCCCCCGGCTGCCCAGCGCTCTCTCCTGTCCCAAGACTGTGGGAAAACTGTGGGGTTTGCGCACCTTGGCCTTTCTTTTCCTTATTTATCCATTTTCGGTGCCAGGGATGGAAGCCAGGGCGTGGGCGTGCTGGGCATGCACTGTACCACTGGGCTGCACACCAGCCTGTGCTTTGACCCTGGACAGGATCCACCTCCTCAAGGTTTGTTGAGAGAGCTTGAGTCACAAATAAGATTAGGTAGCACCTGCTGGTTAGAAAGTTTCTGAGCTGAAGAGGCAGGAAAGGAAAAGAAGGAGGGAAGGGAGGAGGGTGGGAGTGAGCCAGAGAGAGCAGGGACAGGCATTTATCTGACACTGAGAAACAACAGAACAGGGACAGGCATTAGTATCTGACAATGAGAAACAACAATTCCATGCGAAAGACCTGAAAATAAAGTTTCTCATCCAATTCATGTTTTTTTTTCCTTAATCAGCCCTTGAGCAGACCAGATGCTCACCCCTGGCAGACAGGGACTGTCCTGTGCCCCAGGGAACCAAGACCCATCTGTATTGCTCATGCAGTTTCACACGCAGGACCCACTTTGTGTCCCTATCACTTTCTCAGAACCTATTGGCTACAGACTTCTCTGGGGTCTACAGAGCACACACATTCCCACTGGCTCCTGAGCATGTTCTGTGGATGCCATTAAACATTCCCCGCAACCACCTGGGCCCGCTGAGTGGCTCCGCCATGGTGAGAGATCTGAGTGTCTGCCACCCCTTTAATCTTAAAGTCAATGCGATTACACTCCCTTTGCCCCATACAGGTGACTTTTTGTTGTTCTGATGTTTTTATGTGTATGTATATGTGCACAGTCAGGCTTTATTTGTAACTTTTGTCATTGCTATGGTCCCCCAAATAATTTCTTGAATCAAAATAGCATGATCAGTTTTATGACTGTTACTGTCTTTTGTCAGTTTTTAAAGAAAGAACCAGAGTAAGTTTCTCCACGGGAGTTACACTAAGCACTTGTTGATGAATTACTCTTTTCTGTTGGAAGAAACTCCCATACAGATTCTTCCGATATTGAAGCATCTTCTAAGGGTGGGGAGTTCTCCAGCCTCAACGATGCTATCATGTGGGCAGCCCAGATGTGAAGATGACTCAAAGGTCCCCCAGACACTAGAGGTCCACAGAGCATCGTCTTGTTGGAACAGCATGAAATGGCTGAAGATCCTGCCTAACAAGTCCTGGGTGAGAGGCTGAGACAGGAGGATCGCAAATTTGAGGACAGTCTCAGCAACTGAGTGAGGCCCTAAGCAGCTTAGTCAGACTCTGTCTCAAAATAAAAAAAAAAATAAAAAGAGCTGAGGATATAGCCCCTAGGTTAAATCCCTAGTACAAAAAAAGAAAAAAGAAAAAAGAAAAAAATCCTATGTGAGTTGCAGACAGAAGGCAAAAGGGTTCATTTCTAGTCATTTAAAACAAATTTCTAGTCATTTTAGACCTTGTCAATTCAGAGAGATGACTCTTGGTTAACTCCTTATATAGACAGATCACTACATTTGTGGGTCTGTTAGCCCTGATTTGTTGCTAATTACTTTATTTGAGTTCAGGCTGAGTGAGTTATAAGAGTGGATACGGGGCCTGGGAGGACTTTATCAGGAGGTGAAATCTGAGCGGGGCTTGAAGAACCACAGGCTTCACCAGGTGCATGGAGAGGCTAGTTTGGAGAGGCTGAGGAGCTTGGGTGTCATCCTGTAGGTGGTACAGTGTCTTGGGAGATGATGAAACTGCAAAAAGTGGAAGTCGGAATTGGTGTTTGTAAGAAAAATTTGCATGTTTTATTTTTGATTTGGTAAATTGTCAGTTATGTACCACTGGATTTTTATTCCTGCTTAAGTTATGTCAGAATCTCTTCATATTTGCAGAAAATTCCAGAGGATAGGTTGGATGTTGTGGTTTGGATGTGGCTTGAGTGTGTCCCCCAGACGTTCATGTGGTCCTTAGTGTGGTAGTATAGAGACGTGGTGGACCTTTTAAGAGGTGGGGCACAATGGGAGGTCCCTAGGTCATTGGGGGTGTGTCCTCCAAAGAGACTAGGTGATTCTCAGCACCTGAGCTCAAGAGTCCTGACCCCTGAAATGCTTCCTGGCTTCTCTACCGAGATCTCTTCCTCCTTCCTACATGAGCACTCACCATGAAGTCCTCTCCAGGGCTGACCAGAGCCTGCACCCAGCAGTTTGGGCTTTCAGCCTCCAAAACTGTTAGCTAAATAAACCTCTTCTCTTATAAAGTTAGCCTGCCTTAAATATTCTGCTAATAGTAATAAAAATCTGACAAATACAATCAGCCCTTGTACAGTAAACATAGAGAATAATAATAGAGAACATTTTGACTTTACAAAGTCCCAAGCCACCAGGACCTGTCACTCCTAAAACACATCTCCCACAGTCCTCATCCTCCCCTTGGTGCAGAGCATCGTGCATGACCAGGGGCTGATCCCAGGACCTGGTTTCTGTGGAGCCATGCTGCAGTCTCCAGGGTGGCCTGGCTGAGGGGATATAAACCCATGAGCATGGTCTGGTTGACAGAGTAGACAGCCCTTAGTAAAGCAGAGAGAAAGGCTTGATCATACCCAGGCACCAAGGGAGTGATTCTCAGTGGGACCGGGAGAGGGAAGTGATCATATCGGTCTATATAGGAGAACATCCCAGTACAGTCTACAAACTGTGCACCACTCAGACACCTAGGTGATTGGGGGGCCGGCAGAATGAGAGCAGCCAAGGATGAGGAAGCAGTAAGATTTCCTGCTCACTCCATCTGGGGTGGCCGTACCCTCTGCAACTGAATGACACAGATCCCCACTGGCTCCACATCTTCTGATGGAAACTACTCCCACCCTGGCTGGCCTGGCTTTGGGAAGTTGGCAGAAAAGTCAGCAGGACACTTTCTATATGAGGTTGAAGGCCGGCTGGCAGGCAGGACTGCGTGGGTGCCAGTGAGGCCTAGGAAGCCCTTGGCAGGTGTCTGGCAAGTGTGTAGCAGCTGCTCCCTGCCCCCCCCCCCCCCCCCCCCCCCCCCCAAGGCAGGACAGTGAGGCATTGTGCCCAGGGCTGGGTAGTTCTGGGCTGGCCTCTCTTTCCACCCTGCCCACATAAAAGATTGTCTGTGCTTTGGCTACTGAATCAGGGGTGGAGAGCGATATAAGGGGGGTGTTGAATGGGACCTGTAACTTGTCTGTGGCTACTTTTGGAACATTTAGTCCCAATAAGTCACCTTCCACAAGCCTGCACTTCAGGGGAAGGAAGCTGTGGCTCTGGGAAATCACTTGCCATTGTCTGTCTGGGGTCCGTCTTGGTCCAGTGTTCTGGAACTGTTCTCCCTGGAGGGCTTGCTTTGGAAGTCCCCACCTTGTGGGGCTACTCGGGTGTGAGGTAGCTTGGGCCTGGCTTTCACAGGAGCAAAGCCAAAGAGACCAGGTGGGTGGTCTGCTGAGAAAGCACGCATGCCATCCATCAAAGGTCAGCAGAGAGGCCCAGGGTTAGGGATGGGGGACGAACTGTTAACATCGGGTTTAAAAGCAAACACACACATGTTCAGCCCGCAATGCCAGTGCACTGCCTGAGCCAGGGCTGGACATTCCCCTGGCGGGCAGGGAAGGCACTGGTCTGCGGAGCGCTGAGCGGCCTCCACTTCCCAGCGAGGACGGCTGGAGGGCAGGGAGCTCCCCTGTCCTCTGCAGGGTCCTCTGTCCCAGAAAGGGGGCTTCCTCTCCAGCGGCACCGGTTTGGGTTTGGAAGGAGGGACAGGCCACTGCTTCCAGAATCGTCCTCGGCCCGCGCGCAGACAGTGAAGGGGGCTGAGTGGAGGCTGCCTCGCGGTGGCCCCTTCCGTCCTCACCCCGTCTTCGCGGCCGTCCCTGTTTTCAGTGGCCTGGCTTCTGCGGAGCCCAGGGTCCTTCCTGGTGGCCTGCGCGTGGGCTCCAAGCCCGACTGCGGTGCGGGGCGTGGCGGTCCCGCCTGTGGTCCGTCTACCCGCCCGCGGCTGGGCAGCTCCGAGGGCCGGAGGGGCGCCCGGGTCCCCAGGGTCCCCAGGCCGGGCCGCGGGCGAGGCTGACGCCGGGCGTCGCAGGGAGTGGGCGGCCGGGGCTGGACCCGGCGCCGGGAGGAGCCGGCCGGGCCACGTGACCCGCCGCGGCGGCCCAGAAATAGCAGCGGCGGTTCCGCCCGCGGGTTGGCGCGAGCGCGGGCCGCGGCGGCTGGACGCAGCTGGACGCGGCTGGACACGGCTGGGCGCGGCGGCCCGGCCCGGGGGATGCTGCAGAGCCCCGGCCCGGCCCGGCCCGCACATGATGGCCATCCGGGAGCTCAAGGTGTGCCTTCTCGGGGTGAGTCCGCGCCCTGTCCCCGCCCTCGGCCACCCCGCGCCTGCTCCCCGGCCCACCCTGATCGGCGACCCCTCGGGCCGCCGCTCGCCGAGCCCCGGGGTCCCCGCGTCCCCCGGCCCAGGCTTCCCGCGCCCGCCCATCCGCCGTCCCACCCGCACCCGCGCGTCCCGGGGTCCCCTCCGGCCTCGCTGGGCTGCGGGGTGGGCGGGGCGGGGACAGGGCGCGGGACAGGAACGGCGGCTTTGGATGATTTCCGGAGTGTCGAAGCTCCTCGGGAGGCCGCGGGTTTCTTTCGCCTCCCGGGAGCGATGGGTTTATTCACTTAAAAAAAAAAAAAAAGTCCAAGCCAGGGCGAGAAAACCGAGGGCATGGCCGGGCATGGCCGGGCTGGAAGGCGAAGAAAGAAAGTACTGTGGAGCAGTGCGCCCCGCGAGCGTCCGTGCGGCGGGTGAGAATGAGCGGGGACCGAGAGCGCCCTCCCCCGTCACCACTTCCCTACCCAAACTGGGTGTTTCTCAGCCTGAAGAAACAGCCTGGAACCCACAGCCACCATGCGAACTGGAGGACCTGTCCCGTGACACAGGGACCCCCGTCCCCTGGGGACTCGGATAATGTTTACAGTCATTTCCTGGTATCCGCGTCAAATTCCAGAATCCTTCCAAAAGCAGATGAGGCCCTAAACTGTGTCTTCAGTGGCCTTTGGCACCCAGGCTTGGTCCTCTAAGGCCAGCTGATTTTGTTCTCCTAAGAAGACCGTTTCCTAAGTAAAGGAGCAGCCAAAGGGTAGACCCCTTCCAGTTTGTCTCAGAAATGCTAACTGGGCTGTCAGGACCGAGGTGCACAGAGGAAACATGGCAGTCGGGATGGGTTGTGCCAGACCACCGTGTGCCTGTGCCCGGCCTCTGGATCCTCTGGCTCAGGCGATCTCGACTGGCCCTACCACTGTCCTCGGCCAAAATCCTTAATTACGCCGACTGGATGGTAATTCCAGGGGAACTGGCAGAGGCCGCCTGCCCTGTGAGTCCCCGATGGGCCCTGCTCGACTCTCCCAGTGCCTGGACTTGGCAGCCGCGGGGATCTGGCTGGGAGGCTGTTCTGGGTCCCCTGCTGAACTGTGGGTGTGGCAGGGTGGGTTTCGTGTGTGCCAGGCTGTCTGCCACAGTCCAGACCTAAATGCCAGGAACTAGAAGCCATTCAGCCCCAGGGCTCCAAAGACTTAGCAGGAAAGCCTGCCTACAGAGGCACGGTGAGTCGCATGTGTCAGTTGGGCTTGGGAGGAAATATCTTTGCCTTGTTTTGGGACACTGTCTCTGTCTCCCTTGTTGTCTATGTAGGTGGCACAGGCCCCTGCCCCAAGCCTGCCCCCTCCTTCTCAGTTTCACTATTTAGGCAAGAATCTTTATATCCGTGTACAAGGACAGTGTTCCATGGCAAGAGCCTGCACCTGGGCTCTTTCCCAACCAACTGGCTATGCTGCTTTGGATGACTAATACAGTTGCCTTATCTGTAAATGCACATAATAACATCTTCCCCGTTAAGGCAGAGCATTGTACCAGATGAACACTTAAGATACATGGTCACTTCCTGTCAGTCTGTGATTACAGGGTGACAGCAAAACTTAGAGATAAGTTTAACTTCCTTTTTTCTTTATCTCCAAGAATGAAGCACACTCTGGCTGGGCACTGTGGCACACACCTGTAATCCTAGTGACTTGGGAGGCTGAGGCAGGAGGATTGAAAGTTGGAGGCCAATCTCAGCAACTTAGTGAGATCCTGTCTCAAAATAAAAAATGAAAAAAGCTGGTGATGTAGCTCAGTGGCAGAGCCTCCCTGGGTTCAGTCTCTGGTTCTAATGCATAAACAGAAAGCCAGGAAGCAGCACGTGTTTTCAGTGGCTCCTGGAGACGGTGCCTCCCCTTGGCTCCCCTCTGACTGCTGGTTCCTTTTGATGGCTCTGCTGATCGGCATTTCACCTTGGAAGTGGGGAGAATGGTGCTGAAGCGGAGAAGAGCTTTCTGTGCAGGTGGCAGCTTTGAAACATCAGTCATATCACCTCATGGCCTCCTGTTTTTCAGGGTGGCCTTACGTTTTCCACACCGAGCAGTGTTTGCTTCGTCCCCTGCTTGGTCCCTTCCTGGGCCAGGTGTTTGCAGCAGGCTGTTCTAGCTGCTCATCTGAGCAGGCTGGTTCTCTGGGTGACAGGGCTTGTGGGAGGTCAGAGTCCTTCTAATGCCCAGTTGTACTGTGGTGACCTGGGGGTCAGTGTCTGGAGGAGCGAGCCAGTGCTCAGTCCGGAGGCCCTTCAGAGAGAGACCCGCAGCTGCTGTCTCTCTGGGTAGGGACCCGTGCTTTCTGGACTGAGGCCTGCCTGTGCCCGGCACTGACTTCCTGTTTTCTCAGCGTGCCTGCTGTCTCAGTCTGATCAAGACTCTGGCATCCCCACCGAATGTGACAGAGAATGTGGCCCTCATGCTGAAGGCTTGCTGTGTCACTGGAGGGGCTGAGGGACCCGTCTCTGTGCTGGCTCAGGGTTGTGCACGCGGCCAGGGCAAACTTTACCTCTGCTCCCTGCTGGTGACTCCTGGCTGTAGTCACGGGCTCCCTCCTGGGGTCAGAGGTCCCTTCTATTGATGTGAGGGTCGGGTCCCTGGCAGCAGGTGGCAGGCGTGGCCTCCCTGGCCTGTAGCAGTGTTGTTCGGGGTCCTGCCGATGCCATTTTCTTGGCCTGTTAGGTGTGTCTGCTCTTGTCTCTTGGGGAGTGCTCTCAGGTGGGCTGAATAATGGCCTGGAACATTCTCTGAATGCCTTGTGCTCGCTGAAAGCCCAGGACTCAGGGGCACTGGGCTCACCTACGTTACCTGTTATCCACTCTTGGCTTGAATGTCCCGCATGTGGACTCTTCTGTGGACCCCGCGTGGGGTGGCCAGGCAGGCCTGTGTGAAGGCTCTTTCCTCGGGTAGCTAGGCTGCCTGCAGACCTGCTGCGGGTGCCTTTGACCCAGGGAAGCACACCAGGCTGGGCCAGCAGATGCCCAGGACCCCCAGAGTCTCAGCCCTGCCCATAAAGTGCCAACCATCCCACCGTGGAAGTCAGCACTCATGAACACTGCAAAGCGCGCGCGCGCGCACACACACACACACACACACACACAAGCCCAAGCCAAAAAGCAATCCCAAGGCAGCAGCTGCTTCTACCCCAGAGGTGGAAAGCTTCCCAGTGGCGTTCCTGACACACATTGCCACGTGGCCGCAGCAGGAGGAAGGGGCAGAGGCTCATCTCTGTTTTATAATTTCCTCTGGGGGTGTGTGCGTGTGCACTTAAAGACTGCTTCCGGACAGAATCCCAAGGAGATTTCTGTTTGTACTTTGGTTGTCTTGACAACAGCTGGAGATTTCTGCCACTTTGTCCACAGCTGGGTGCATGGTGAAGGCGGCCCAGGACTTCCCTGGTCCTGAGGGAGCTTGACCTCTGTGCGCAGCTGTGTCCCGGCTCATCAAAGAGCTGTCACACACCTGGGGTCTGCTGGGACTCTGGGTGGTGGAGATTTCAGATTTGTACAGGGCTGCGCAGTGGAAGGACTCTTTGATCTCATGGTCACTAGGGCCCCAGAGTGGAACGGGTTTCTGTTTACCGTGACATGGAGCAGTCAGAGCTGTGTGGACTCCGCGGGGCCACCACAGGCGCTCTCCTGAACTGAAAGTCCCCGAGGAGGGTGCACAGGTTTATTAGAGTTCTTGCAGATGGAACTGATGTGGAGGGTAGTGGGTGGGGCGAGGCATCTTAATCCATTTTCTGTTGCTATAACAAAATATCTGAGAATGGGTGGTTTTTAAAATGGGAAGGTTTATCTAATTCATGATACTGATGGCTGGAGGGTCCTAAGAGCATGGCATTGCCCCCAGCTGCCTCACAACCTGGTGGAAAGGACAGGGAACTGGCCCTGTTGCAAGGGGTCAAGTGTGTTCTCGTGACAACTCACTCTAAGAGACCAGCATTCATCCCTTCCCAGAGGTTTTCCCCACGTGTAACCGCCCTGTGCTCGGCCAGCTTCTTAATGGTCCAGCACCTCAACCTTGTCATGCTGAGGACCAGGTGCATCCAGCACTTGAGCCCTTGGGGGCAGGCCACGTGGACAGAGGCCACAGCAGTCACCACGGTGTTGCTTTCCAAGGTGGGTTCCGTTAGCATGCTCATTCTGTTTTCCTTCTGAGAATCTTGGGTTTCTCTGGGTGGGAGGACGGCAGGTTGGGCCTGATTCCTCTATTAAATCGAACCCTTTTTATAAAGTGTGGCTGGGCACTGGTGATCCTGGGGGTGCCTGTGTCAACAGGACTAGTGCAGCTGGTGTGGGGGTGTCCTCCAGCAGCACCTGGCATGTGGCTGACGCCGTGCCCTGCTCCCGGTCAGGCTGACCCAGTCCCTCAGGCTCCCTGGTTCCTCTTTGCTTCAGCGTCTGCCTGCCACACCCCTCCGAGGGCTTTCGGAACTCAGTGTCTCTTTGGCGTGTGTCTCAGAACCATTGGTGGAACATCTCCAGCCTCCCCCCGGCCTCCCCCTCATTCGTCCCCGTTTCCTAGTTCAGGCAGCTGATACCGCAGCCTGGAAGCTCAATGACACGGACTTCTCAGGACGCTGGAGGCTGAGGAGTGCAAGGTGCCGGGTCACAGTCTGCTTGGCTCTCCTGCTGTGTCCCCAAATGGCAGAGAGACAGGTCCTTAAGAGCATACTAATCCCTTTCATGATAATCTACCCTTGTGACCCTATGGTCTCCCAAGCTGCCTCCTCTGGACACGCTCACTTTGGGGATGGGGCTTCGGTGTATGAATGGGGGGGGGCTCAGATATTCAGTCTGTGGCACTTGCCCATGGCCCTCCGGCATGGCCCACCTTTGGGGCCAGTCTCCTTGTTTTCTTGGCTGTGTCGATCCCTTAGGTCGGACCCAGGGCCACAGCCCTGAGTAAACTGCACTCTAAGGTGCTGGACCTAAGGCGATCCTGAGCC